TCAACACGGCCATATGTTTCATTTCCAGAACAGGGCGACTTTGGATCCAGCCCATTGTCACCAACAGCGTCCAAAACCATGTGGATATAGTTTGTTGACAATTTCATGCTCTGACCCTTTGGGACCGATCGGCACAAAACCTTTACCAGTCGATAAATCATGGTCGATAACCCATCGTTTCAGAACATGGTGACCTGGGGTCAGGTCAAAGGCCATCAAAAACGGCTGAATCAACATGAAATTAGTTTGTAGACAACCACATGCTCCGAGACTATAGAACTCATCAGCGTAAAAGCTTTACCAATCGATGTGCCATGATCGATAACCTATTCTTTCCAGAGAATGGTGAACTTCGGTCAGGTCAAATGTCACCAAATACGCCTACAACTCACAAACACCAATTTTTCCAGTTTTCGGTATTTTTGGTGACCTTTTGACGTAACCTAAGGTCACCATGTTTTGGTTAACTGAGAATATCGACCATGCCACGTTTGGTGAACGTTTTGTACCAATCACTCCATAGGATTGGAACGTTGGGTTGTCTGCAGTCCTGGTCTTCGGTATTTTTTAGACCTTTGACCTGACCCAAGGTCACCACATTCTGGGAATGATGGATTATCGACCAAGTGGCATCGGATGGTGAAGGTTTGGTGTCGATCTGTGCCATAGGCTCGGAGCGTGGGGTTGTGAACAAGTTTTGTCGACCGTTTAGTCCCGGCCCCGCTCGCTCACGCCCACGTCACGTGGCCATGGGTTGCATCAGCGCTCGCTAATGCGCAGTTCATTCCGAGGAGGGCGGCTCCAGGGAGTGGACGCTGCGGCGCTGCTGGTGAAGAAGAGCTGAGCGAGCGTCGAGTGACGAGTTGTGGGAGAGCTGGGCCAACCGCAGAGCAGAGCTGGTACGTACGGGCATCATCCGTGCATGTGTGGGCCTTCACCTCCGGGAGCGTGCGGTCGGGACCGGGGCTGCTGAGGCAGGCGCGCCTGAGAACGGGCGCCCGACAGCTGCGGCGCTCCCCGGTGATAGTGCCCCGTGTTTTCTGGTGAAGCTGAAACCAGGGAGCTAGAATCGCTTTTTAGCTAATCAACTGTCAAGTAACATGTTCATACACCATGAAGTATATGCTTTGTCCTGTTGATATTATAAGCGTGCAAGTTATGCGCGGCACATTTCATTAAGTTTGTTGATAAGCCCAGTTTTTTCGTCCAGGCTCCCGTCGCAAACTGAAGCGTTGATGTGCCAGAGACGGGCGAGCACTTTCTCAGTCTTTTTGCGCAACCAATATGAACAAACGCCGGTAACTTGTTTCGCGGACTCGGAAGAGAGTGCATCCAGACATGCCGCAGCTCCTGTATCTCAGGTGGTTTGGCGTCGGACTCTGGGGCCAATCTGTGCCAGATCTGTGTGGCAGCGTCTCAACAAGGCGTGTCTTTCTCGCAACGGGTAACCAGCTGGCAGCTGGCCAAGACCCGCAGCGGCCGAAACAGCGGCGGTCTTGCCATGACACTGCGTAGCGTAAGATATGGTGAAAATCAGCAGCACACGGAGTCGAGTCCGCGGCCATGGACTCTGAAGACTCTGGCTTAGTGAGTCGATCCGTTGTGTGGATTAACCAGACTTGAACGCGGACCGTTAGAAAAGAAAGATCGATTTGGCCTCGACTTGATTTCGAATAAATCCGTCTCCGACTCGGTCTCAACAAGCACGGAAAACTGGAACACGGACAAAATTGGCGTCTCATTGAAGCTTCAGAATGGCCCAACGGTGCATTTCAACAGCAGACTGCATGCTGTGTAAATGGCGGCTTAGTTTGATGCAGAGTTGAGTTGGGTTGAGAGAGCAGAATTGGGCTGCCTTGGTTGGGCTGATTGTCGTTTCAGCTGGTTACGATAGGGGCTGACTGATTTGGATGGGGCTGAATCACTTTGCAATCAGGTGTCATGGCAAAGAGACACAGTCACTAAAGCTTCGTGAAGGCCGTTAGCACATGCCTGCAATTCGAAAGCTATTCCGCTGCTGGCTGGGCGAGACGAGAGCTAGAGGTGCTGCCATTTATGAGGTGCTGCCCCCTATGCAACAATGTGGTGCGTTCACGTCGGTTTGTGGGTAAGCCTGAAGCTTGCTCCGATTTCCTTCTTAGTAATCTCTGCACCGGACAATCTGACATGATAAAGAGTTCCAAGGCCAAAAATAGCAGCCATATCAACCACAGCCCCCGAATTTCCCTAAGATCAATTGAACCACTCTGAGCACTGTTCGGCAAACGGGCGGCACAGCGTTAAGCAGGCGATTGCTGAGGATCGGGAAGTAAGCTATCGGGTATTAAGGCGCGTCAGCGGCATATGTGCAAAAATGCTCAGTTTTGCCTTTTGGTAAGTCCAGTGCCCATGCAAAAATGAAATATAACGCTACGCGAGAATAAAGCATCATTTGCTAGCGGAACGAAAAGATCAGTTAATTTTCCTAGAATTAAGCAGTGAGGACACATTCGAATCTCGATCCAAATATATCAAGCTTCCCGTTGAAGCTATTACATTTCTGAGAAAAGCTGCCAGCTTTTCGAAATACGGTGCTGAAGAAGACTTCACGACTGTGGGTCTTAAAATCAGCGCGTTTAGTGCATTTTGGCCGCTGCAAGAGTCTAACTACCAAAAAATGCGAGTGCACCTTTTCAACCAAAGAGACTCTGCCACATTCGTCCAGCGGCAAAAACTGTCGGTTATCTTGTGCTATTCTCGCGTAGCTCATGCCATGGGCCGTTGGCTTTCAAATGTTAAGGAGAATGTTACACATTTGAAGATATTGAGGTAAGCTTCTTGTTTTATTTATGACTTGCGGGGCCATGAGACTAGTTAAGAGTTTTAAGGGGTTCCAGTTTTGCATCGTGGTGATGAGCACAAAAAGGTCAATACTCCGTATGGTCTGGGCTCGAGCGGCTTTGCATGTCAGTGCACTTGATGCGGTCTGGTTAGTGTAATGAGCGATCACCGCCAAAAAACCTAAATCAAGCACGTGAGCGCTGACCGGCTTCAAAACATTCCACACATTGTCACCGAGATCGACCGCCGTGAAAGATCTGCGATGCCAAGCCAGTAGTCTATCAATTCCTGAGCAAATTATCGTACCAATTTCAACGGAATGACGCGTGGCCTTGCACATACCCGTAGTGGCGAGTTTGCATCTGGCATCTGCGTAAGCAACATCTGAGCATTTATTGGTGACGTCACCTGCGCATGCGTGTCTCCGCCCGGCTTGGCGTTGCCAGCGAAATTCAGGAGTGTGTTCGGGTCAGTCAGCGATCGGGCAATGGGCAATCGCGCAGGTACGGGTGTGATATCACGGGGGTTCCCATGAGCAATGGCTGTTTCGAGATCAGGATGACATCGGTCGGGTCGAAATAAGCCGTTTGTTGCGGAGGATGGTGCACGAGCAGAAGTTTAAAAGTGGGGCTCACTTGGGAATGCAGATGCTCGCGTGACTTCATTGTGAATGGGCGACGTGCGGGCCCAAGAAAGCGGTGGGTCATATGAAACAAGTCTGGAGGAAAACGTGGATACCAGTGGCAGCCATTATCATCATCAATTGGTGCTGGAAATGTAAACAAGAAGTGAAATAATGCGAGCATGAAGGATAAAGCCGTAAGAGTATGAGGTCAATACTAAGGACAATAAAACTCTAAATTACCCCCGCCATCGCGGTACAGCTGGCGGAGCTACTTAAGTCGGCTGACCGGTCAGCCACCACACGCTTCATAGGGGATGCCCCACCCATATGTTTATTGGGGAGGGTAACTGACACCACTTCAATATAGCTTAATGCTTATCAGTAAAACGGGAATTATGGGAACTGGTGGGCAACCACCCAGTCGTCACCACCAATGTGATACGTGTCATGTAACAACACTCGTAACTGAACTGATCTGGAGCCGATCTGAAGTCAATGCCTATCGAATGGCCTAAATGAGTGCAAAGCGTAAGTGCTATGGCGTCCTTGCATGCAGCCCGAATCAACAACACCAGCCATGTAATGTCATGACAGTGGCGAGATAGCAATGTTTCTTTCGGCACGTTCACCAGACAAGAAATTGTCCTCGACTTCAACCATCAAAGGGACTGTTTGCAGGCCTGACTCTAGCCATATGGTCTTCAACCAGCTTTGCCTCGTTAAATGCATTTGGGCTGCAGCATAAAGCGTGGGTGATGTACAGTGGTCAATTGCCGACGACATATTTGGCGTAAGACGTAATATTTGTTGAGCTCCAGAGGTGCATTCGAATATCAGAAGTCTAAATCTGCGTTTTGCTCTATGTCCAACAGCTGCACGTACGGCGTTTTAAATTTTAAAAGAGCGCAATGTAAGGTGCAAAGAATAGACAATACGATAGATTCTCGCCCGTTGCTGCGACACATGATGCATCACTTTGATGCACACAACCTCTGGATATTTGCTTTTACTATCAATGAAACTGTTCCCGCTTTAGACAACTGCTAGTATAAGATGAATGCATCAAGCTTAAGCATTTTGTGGACGGGGCATGTGCACTATGATGGTGTGCTATTGTGAATCATGATTGGTCACTCTGCATGTGAACATCGCCGTAGTGCTTTATCTCACCGCCCGACATTATTACGTCACATGATATGTTGTGACGTCACTCCAGGCTGGCTGACGAGCAGCGAATAGCGCAGAAGCGTCTTTGGCCCTGAAGGAGCGGTGCAAGTCCCTGGAGCCGCAGGTCAAGATGCAGGTAGGTGTCTCCGACGGCCTCTGTCGTAAAGTGACTCGGATCAAACTGTCACCAGGTCAGCATTCCGGTGAAGTCAGTAAGGTACAAGGATACTTTGGGTCGGTTATCAATAAGCAACGGCTATGGTGATGAACGGTTATCATTAAGCAAGTAAATGGTTGTGATGGTTATCACAGTTATGGTTATGGTCATGGTTATCAATAAGCAGGTAAACTCTTGCACAGGCAGTGTGACCTTGAATGAAGTGTGGCTGTCGTATGCACGGGCAAACTGTTGAAATGCCCGCAAATCATGACACATGAGGTGCAAGCATCAAATCGCCTGCCGGTGATGTTGAAAACTACTTGAATACTGTGACAGGTTTGCGTTATTGCATTGGATAAATGGGACGTCCCAAGAACATTGCACAAATTGTGCAGAGACTGACTTCTAGCACGTGAGGAGCCAGCAAGAAGACGAAAATATCCATGCAGGCCGCGACGAAATCGCTGTGTAGCCGACATTTTGCTACCATTCCATTGAATTTGCATGACATTACGCACACCTGGACTTTATGATAAGTGGACCCGGAATCGATTGCCGCGTCGGCCATCTTTCTGTTGAGTGGAGGGAAATCGTTTGACCTTTGTAATTTCACTGAAACTTGGACTGGATTTGCGTCAACGAACCACAGTTTGAGATTTGAGTCAAGTTAACGAGTTGGTTGTTCAGTTTGCATCATAATGTTGGTTCAGAGATGTCGGCATGGTTAGGCAGATGAACGAGAATGTTCCACATTGGGAGATGTTGTGTGGTCATGGAACATGGAACATATTTACTGAAGATGGAACTCGTGTTGTCTACAGCAGTCTTTTTCTCTCAAAAGTACACCAATAGTTATAACTGAGTATACCTCATCATATGTGACGCTTGCTTTAGCATCTTCAACTGTGGAGCATTCTCTCTCAGCTCCCTAACCATTCAGACATCTCTGTGCCAACATTATCATGCAGACTGAACAACCAATTTGTTGACTTGACTTAGACCTCAAACTGCGGTTCGTTGACTCAAATCCAGTCCGAGTTTCAGTGAAATTGCAAATGTAAAACGACTTCCCTCCACTCAACGGAAAGATGGCCGACGCGGCAATCGATTCTGAGTCCACCTATCATGAAGTCAAGGTGTTCGTAACGTCATGCAAATTCATTGTAATGATAGCAAAATGTCGGCTACACAGCGATTTTTTGGGAACGTCATTGGATGGGAACGTCATTCAAATCCTGGCACCCACAGGCCAGGCGGCGTTCAAGGCCAGGAAGAATATTATCACCCAGCCGTTCACATCTGGCGTTCGTGAGAGCGATTTCCAAATGACTCAAAAATCAAGGGGCTCGTCAACAATGCTTAGTGCGCAGTGGTAAGCTTTAGCGACGAAACGCGTTTTGTGCTGCATAATATAAGAAGTCCGACACAACTTTTTCACTTGGTAGTTAGCACAGAATATAGGACTTGTAATCGAGTAACTTAAGAATAACGCTACAATCGAGTGTGTAGATGCAAGTAAGCGAATAATGTCATAACTGAGTGAGTGAATACAAACAAACATATTAAATCCGCGAATAAACAAGCAAAAATATCAGGACAGAGGGCCAAGGTATGAACATGTGACAATATTTGGCTCAGCAAACACTTCCAGCCCGTGCTGCTATCTCTCCACGAGGAAGTACTACAAATAAGTGAAATTTTCTCACGGCTAGTTTGGCAGTATCTCAGCGTCATACAAGCGTCCCATTGCACAATCAAACAATGACGCACCATGGAACATATTTACTGAAAATGAAACTCGTGCTGTCTACAGCAGTCTGTTTCTCCCAAAAGTACACTAATAGTTTTAAGTGAGTATTTTTCATCATATGTCATGCTTGCTTCAATATCTTTCACTGCGGAACATTCTCGTTCAGCTGTCTAATCATGTCGATATCTCTGAACTAACATTATTGTGCAAACTGAACAACCAACTCGTTAACTTGACTTAGATCTCAAACTGCGGTTCGTTGACTCAAATCCAGTCCGAGTTTCAGTGAAATTACAAATGTAAAACGATTTCCCTCAACTCAACGGAAAGATAGCCGACGCGGCAATCGATTCTGAGTCCACCTATCATGAAGTCCAGGTGTGCGTAACGTCATGCAAATTCAATGTAATGGTAGCAAAATGTCGGCTACAAAGCGATTTCGCCGCCGCCTACTTGGGTACTTTTGTCTTCTTCCTGGCTCCTCACGTGCTAGAAGTCAGTCTCTGCACAATTTGTGTCACGTTCTTGGGACGTCCCATTTCTCCCATGCAATGATGCAAACCTGTCACAGTATTCAAATTGGTTTTCAACATCACTTTCAGGTGATTTGATGCTTTCACTTCATGTGTTATGATTTGCAGTCAGTGCAACAGCAGCTGAGAAGCAGCCAAAGCCATCATTTTCTTGAGGAGAGAGGCACATGTCAAATGTGCCCCTAACTCCTGAGAAGTTTGTCCTGTACGCTCGCCCAGTAGCTTTCATTAATATCTTGGCTTAAAGAAGCCATACCCATGTGACCACGCCCTCGCGTTCCGTGCGCAAAGTTGGCCGACATTCTTAAGTCTTTTTTACGAAGGTTTATGAAATTAGACCCATATCATGTCATTGAACTGAAAAACCATCACACAAATGACTGCGAGCACACTTACGCCGATGAGCCTTTCTGAACTTACATGATATTGTACTGGACTTCCACAGCAGAGAGCTATTCTCTCAGCGTACCAAAACACTTCCTCATTAATCTCCTTGCTTGCATGCAGAGCAGTTGGTTATGTCAGCTAACAACTGATGTTTTAAAGAATCTAGGTTTATCTTCGGCGACGTCGCGCAGATCTATCGGCCAATATTCACTGATCTCCTGTGGCCTCACTCTGACCCGTGACCCCATGCCTACCTGATGCCGGCTGCTTTCGGCCCGCTCCAGCAGAGCTCTGCTCTCCTCTAGCTGGACGCTAAGAGCGTCCCTGGCTCGCTCTGAGACGTCCAACTGCCCCTGGAGCTCGGTCTTCAGCCGGACCTCCTCCTCCAGGCGCGCCGTTGTTTCGCCGATCTCGGCCTGGTAGCGCCGGACCGCCTCCTGTTCTCCGGCAATCGACGCATTGGCGGTGTTGAGGGTGGTCTCCAGCTCGTTGATGTCCTGCTCTAATCTCTTGAGGCGTCTAATCTGTTAATCTCTAATCTCTTGAAGCGCTCGGCCTCGACGCAGTTCTTGACCTCCTCCAGCAGCCATTCAATGGCCGAGAAGGTCTGATGGAGCGTTCGGCTGGGATCTGGGTTGCCGGCGTCCTCCCCGATCTGGTCCGTGGTGTCCTATGGGCCATAGGTCAGCTCAGGTCAAGTCACGTTCGGTCCCAATATTCGGCACCGGTCAGTTATTGGCAAGAATGACTGCTCGGTTGCACGTGCTAGATTGTACAGCGTACGATACACACCGGGCATGGTGCAGGCAGGCGAAGTACCCTTAAACTAAAATACGAAGATTGAGAGAGTAAGCAAAAAAGCCCAATGCAAATCAGCTAGATAAAATTATTTCGGTGCGGCTCAGCCTGTGCCATCCGTTTGAAATTGGCTTTAATTGCTGCGGGAATGCGGCTTCCTGCTGTTCTAGCTAAAGATGGTTGTCAACAGAGCCAAAGTTGAGCTTGCGAAAGTCATAGTCAACAGCAGAGAACGGCAGCATAACGGCACACCAGCATCTTTCCTCCAACGGCATTTCGTAATGGCTGATCATACCTTCCCGACACACAGCTACAGCAGGCCACAGTTAGCAACATCAGGACAGGCGGTCGTATGTGTCAGGCAATATCTGCTTCGCCAGAGGCACGGGAGAAAATGGGCAGCGGAAGCCTTCGCCAGATCCAGAGGCTTTTGAACACCAGACAGCATCAATCTATGGGTCGGCGAGCCTACCTCGTTCTTGCCGGACAGGACCTTGTTCTCGCGGCGGATGGAGTCGAGCTGCCGCTGAGACTCCTCATATGCAGCCTTCACTCGGAGTAATTCGTTACTGTAGTTGGCACACGCCTTCCTCGAGGCGTCCAGCTCGGCTGACAGGCCCTCCAGCCCCATCTCGCCCTCATTGCACGTCTGCAATGCAGCAGATAAATATCATTTGCTGCGTTTGCAGAGGAGTGGTCCGAGGTTATCATCCAATTTGTGTTGACAAGATGTCTTAAGGTTTTCCTACTTGGATATACCGTCCACTTCTCCACAAATGTCAGCGAGTCCTTTGACTCATGCGTGAAAATAGCATTATGACTTGTTGAAAATTTGGCCCGAACACCCTCGAAAAGTTGCATTCAAAGCATACCACTGTGCATGTAAACGGGGCAGTGAACGGCCACATTACCTTATTTCCAGCGTGAAATAACAACAACCTTAAAGGCCCAATTTTGGCGATGCTCGGCAATGTTGATCACGAAGAGTTAGTGCTGAATGTCAGGTAGATTCAGTCTGTGCGAAAGGAACGTACCACCCATGGAACCCCGCATTTCACAACGTTCCGAAAAAACTGGTCGCCTATTTTTGCCCTACCTGTGGTTAGCCCGCTACGTAATCCACCAGTTGAAAGCTTATTTCTGAGAACTCCTAATCCTCGCGATGGTACAAAGTTCTAAGCGGACAGTCATCATAAGACGTTCATCATAAGGGCAAAATGGTGCGTTGGAAATGAGTTACCATGGCGAAGCGGAACACATTTTTCACTGGCGTGAAGTGGGCCATCCATGCCCAGAATCCCAGGACGGATACATAAAACAATAATGACGCACCCATATCTGCCTTCTCAGCGGCTCAGGTCAATACCAGCCAAGATCCCCCCCCCCCCCCCATACTCAGATCGTGGATAATCGTACTTTAAATACAAGGCGGTTTTGGCAACTTAACCTGACACGTCGTTGGTATTGGATGACCCTTGTGCCACCATTAGCATAACACTTATTGCCGCTAATGGCGTTGGAAGGTGCGTTTCATTTATTTTGTATTTTAATTTTTAAGACTCAACCTAAAACAATCGCTGCCTGGCATGCCAACGAAGGCGTTGTCAGCAATGGGGACGCTTAGCGTAAAGCCTCTTCATGCTTTGGGAATGCACTTTACAAGCAAATGCCGAGCCCATAGAACTAATCATATGTTGCGAAACGCAGATTTATTGGTTCTCAGCCAGCAGAGCCCTTAAACTGAGTTCAAAGGCCTGATTCGGCTTCAGATTACAGCTGTAAAAGTACGGCATATGAGCAGCAGTATAGCAAACAGTAGTAGCCCGTGGCGACTGCTCAGTTGGTTTGAGCGCCGGTGTTTCGACTCACTGACCCATGGTGGGGTGGGGTCGTGTCGCTTTATACGCTCGCTATTTGTCACTGCCTTGGATTGCCTTTGGCTTGTGAAAGCAGCCGCACAAGAGGCCTCAGGACGGAACGTACGCAGTGTTGTGGCACGTTGAGCTTTGTCACCAAATTCTGCCACTGACCCCAAATTTGACACAGCAAACAAAGCCCCTTGATTTTTGAGTCATTTGGAAATCGCACTCACGGACGCCAGATGTGAACGGCTGGGTGATAATACTCTTCCTGGCCTTGAACGCCGCCTGGCCTGTGGGGTGCCAGGATTTGAATGACGTTCCCACAGCGTCACGCGTGCCTGAATGACCTTGAAATAGTCTGCGTATCTTCGCGGGTGCATAGCTCTGAAACTAGAGGGTTTTACGTCTTAACAAGGTCAGGGTGATGAACTTCACCAAGTGATCTGCAATTTTGCTATTTCAGCTCAAAACCCCATACAAATGTGGAACACTCCCTTTATATTCACACCAAATGAGCCGCAATCATAGATAGCCGTATTTTTGTTGAAACACATGCCCTGCTTACCATGTTATGAAGACCAATTTTCAAGAGCTGGTTATTCCCTATACGTATCATCGGAATCCAGCCATCGGAATCAATTCTGTTTTTGAGCCATACCTTGTTGAGTCGAACCCTATTCGACTCAGATTTGCACTGAGCTGCTCAAAGTCAGAGTGAGAACCAACACCATGCGTTGTGGGTGTCGTGGGCCACAGTCGGCATTGATCCTGCTGAAAATGTGTCAAGCACAATGCTGATGTAAGAAAACTGCCATCGTCGTATAGGTGTTGCATCAACTGGACCGTGCTGATGACTCGAATCACTGATATGGCGTGGGCTTCTCAAGTTGACTGCATGAAACGCTTCCAGGCAACACCATGTACCGCCTTTCAGCAGCTGCCGGCTGAAATGCTGGACCGCATCCTACAATACCTCAGGCCCACACATTTGCTGCGGATCCGCGGAGGTAGGTAGCACATGCGACGGATGACTGTGTGGCGTTGGCACCTAGACTTCCTCTGCAAACCCTATTGTCAGTTGTGTTTTGTGTGTTGCTAAAAAAGCTAGTTAAGAAATTTTCAGCCGTGATCTCTGCATGCAGTTTGCCTGAATACACTTAAGCACACAATGCTCAGCGCTGGTGTCAGCTTGTCAAAGACTGTGATGCAATTACTATCACCTTAAAGTGCTTTCATGTGTTCATGGTATGTGATCATCGACTTAGAAATGTGTTCAGGGCTTTCAAGCGTCATGCCATCGGGTCTCCAGCCAATGACTGTGAAACCTTTTCATCGTTTAAAGTTGTTGTTTAAATGAGCAGGCCATTGAACTCTTAACTAGTTAATACATAATGAGGTTTCAGTGAATACAGAATTGTTTTGGACATCAAAGTCCCTCACGTATTAACAACCATACATATTTTTCCTTAGTCATGAAAGGGACGGGGAGGAATTTCGGGTCAAGCGTAACGGAATTGTAGCAGGGGCAAGGGTGGGACGTCGACCGTGTTATAATCCGGTCGAAAATCATGAAAGCCTCGGAGTTTTGAAACATTAAAGCCGTCTGGCGTTGGCTTTCTCTCATGCCAAGTAACGCGCTCTTCTTTGTTTTGCTTCTCTAGCTCAATCCCAGGTCAACCAGACGTTACGCTCAAAGGGAATGTCTCACATTCTGCTTTGAAAGGCTGCTCAAACAACAAGTTCTCTGTTTACTACAACATCTCCCTTCATATCCTCATATCCTCCCTCCCTTGTCATCAACATCTCCGTTCATATCCAAGATGACCACCATTGCCAGTGTTGTTTGTGCCGAAGCACATGGGCCGTAGATATGTCCACCGGACCTTCTAATCTGCTCACGAGCACACGACAGTCGTGGCTATCACGGCGACCTGGGGCGCAGCCAGTCTTCGTAAGGGGAAAGAGTGCAGGGCCGACATAGGGTCCCTGATTATAAAATGTCCTCCCCCTGAAAAGCATAACTGACTATTGCCTTCACCCAAATGTCAAACAAAACACATAAGCCACCGCAAGATGTCCTTCTCGTTGCATTTTGAAGTGGATAAACCGAAGGACAGGATTTATTGATTACATCGAATAAACCACTGGCGATATTTATGTTACAATGGTTCGTTGGACTCTTTCTGAACCAAGAGCAGCGAGTGGCTCCCAACGTTGTCAGTATTTTTCTTGATTCTAGAGATATCGAGGGCCCCTAAACGTACATTGCAGATCGCAACAAGGTCAAAAATTCCCATTGGCAAGGTCTACCGTCATTCAGAATCGAGTAGTCCTACATGATGTAGCATATTTGTAAATATGCGCTCTCGCATGTCAAATACCCAGACGCCCGGCGTTCCAGTCTCCGTAGGCCTCACTGGGTCTGCCCCGTGACTAATGCCAGGCGACAGACAACGTGCGGACGAAAGGTCACGTTGGTCCGAGAGTGTCAACGCAACAGGCCCTGTGACATTCGAGGTCCCGTCCATGTCCATGTTCAGTAAACGTTTCCCTGGCTGACTCGAAGCCCGTTGCCAGCACCGAAGGCACTGTGGGCCCCTGACTGACACAGGACCCCCTATTATTTTAGTGGCTGCTACCAGCGCCAATCTCGGGCCCGGGCCTCTTTCTTGCTTGACAAAAATGTCCGCAGGGCCCAGACTGACACGCATCCAACCGTTCTGTGTGGGTGGTCTCTGGCTAAAATAGACGCCCGCATTGTCACAAGAGGTATACAATCGGTGCAAGAGGCCCACTGGCTGACATTCGAGGGCCCTGTCCTTGGAGCCGGGGTCCTTAATGTCACGTGCAGCATGCACTCGTGCCCTCCGGGCCCTCCATTCGCGCCCTTACACTCATGAGCCGTGTGGGATCCTTGAACACTGCCTGTGGCTGAATAGAGGCCCGTAACGACAAAGGACGCACTTTTAGGCCCTGTAGGCCCCGAAGCGACACTAGAAGGCCTTCGTTGGCTCAGGGGCCCCGACCCATGCAAATCGCGGGCCGCGGACTTCCTCCTGCAAGGGAAAGGGGCCCGCACGTCCCGAACAGCACGGAACCGACTGTTCAGTGTTGCCAGACAATTGTTTCTCCCCCTCCCGCACATTCCCTCCCCCCCTCCCCCTCCCGTCTCCTCAAGTCCTCGAAACGAAGCCTTCGAGACCACCCAAAGTAATGTTAGTGTGGGCCGTGTTTGATATTTTGCCACCACACGCCTCCCTCTTGAAGAAGACCAAGCTTACACCAAGCGCAAGCCTTGAGCGCGTGACGTATTGTTGAAAACTGCTGGCAAATGTCAGAGAAATAAGAGGCAGTTTGAGAAGGGCGGTGGGGAGAGGAGGGAGGCAGAGCGTTCAGCTTGTACTCGCAATCTGTTGTAAATGTCATCTTTAAACGTGACTGCATTTTGTATCAGTCATGATAAATATTGCAAAAGTATTGCTTGGAATGCAGACGCAAGTTTTTTCGCGTTGTTCATGCGTGGAAAAATTAAGCCCAACGTATGATTTCTAAAGAAGTCGCAAAAAGATATGCCGAAGATTACCCTCTCACCCTCCAGATCGTGCAACGTGAAGGTAATGATCACGCTAAATGGTGGCATGGTTGACTGGTGCCAGCTTCAGTTTGGGATCATTTGCTGTACTATTTTCGCGGGCCCCATTTGCATTACGTACTGCTTTGTCGTCGCATGGGTCCCAGACTTCAAGCCCGCCAGTTGTCGAATTGTTGTGTTATTTGTCTATGGGACCGCTTGATACGGATTGTTTGCGCCGGTGTTCCAAGCAGGCAAGACAGCACCAGCTGCCAGCGACCTGGCCGCCAACCGCCGCCAGCGTAAGATCTCCTACTCTCACAGGGAAATGGCAGTGACGTGTGTTTTCAACTCACTGTCACGCTTGCGCGACAAACGTTGTCACTGGCTGGGTGTGCTGACCGGTGGAAACGTTTTTGTCTCACATGAACGTCGTCTGCGCCGCTGCGGTCCGCTGTACAGTGTGCTCTGTCGGTGCCGGCAGTGTCGCGTGGCTGGCGCCAGGCAGTGGACGACAGCCTGGGGCGCCGCCACCATCTCCACCTTACCGGAGATGACGTGCGGCACGCCAACGACGAGCGGCTGGAGCGGCTGCTACGCCGCATGCCGTCCCTGCGGCGGCTCACAACCGACCATTACATCCGAAAAACAACCGACCATTGCATCTATGTCATCTGCTCACCGCCGGCGCCGTTATCCGTTGACGTCGTCTGTGAGTGTTTTGTGTGTTTTGTCAGTGTGAGTGCGACAGACGCCTCTAAAGCGTTATCATTTAATGGCGCATGCCTCAGTCGCCGTGTTATCGGACGGAGTCTGGGAGCGAGGGCAAAGGCTGCAGGACGCAGCGCTGCCTGAAACTGAAACCCGTGTGTCGTTCCAGCCCGGCTCTCAGGACACCTGGAAAGGGTGGATTTGTTCCACTTCGACTCGGCCCCACAGCCTCTGGAGGGGCTGTGCTCCAGGTGTCCCCGGCTGGGGGACGTCACGCTGCCTCGCAGGTCTGCCGAGCGGTGCGCGGAGGTGCTGCTTCGCCGCCTGCCGTCCCTGCGGCGGCTGGACGTGGTGTGGAGTGGCGTGCGGGGAGAGTGTTTATCGCTGCTCCCCGAGTCATTGGAGGCTCTCTCGGTGGCCTATTGTCTACATCTACAGCCGGCCTGCCTGCGTCAGCTGACCCGCTGTCCTCGGCTGCGGCGGCTGGACGTGTCATGTGTGAAGGGGCTGCAGGCGGCAGACCTGGCGGCGGGGCTGGCCGGCTGTCCACAGCTGGAGCGGCTGACGGCGGGGCTGCTGGAGCCGGCGCTGGAGCTCTGCCTGCCGCCGGCCGGCCTCCCCTCCCTCCGACACCTGAACGTGAGGGGCTCCCGTGAACGTCAGCAGACGTTAGCCTCGCAGGCTAACGTCTGCTGACGCTGGCGAACAGTTGATGGGGCGCGTGGCGCACCACGGAGCACGTGGGCGGTGCGCCCTTTGTTCCGCTGTGTGCCGGTGTTGTGGGTGTGACGTGTGCTGTGCTCTGTTGCAGGCTGGTGCTCGGCTGTCCGTCGCTGACGGCACTGGGGTGGAGGTGGTGGTCTGACCTAGACCGGACCAGGTCCCTGGTGGACAGCCTGGTGCGCCAGCTGCCCCCGGACCGTGACGTCACACTCGAGGTCGACGGTAGGTGGATGTCGCACCCGCTCTCCTCCGTGTCGACGGATGGAGCGAACTGAGCGTTCGTCGCTCCGTCAATGGGATCGTTGATTATGCGCCCCAGGCTATTTAACGGAGGCTGGAATTGTCGCGCCAAGTCCGGTCCGACGGCTGAGCTCCGAGTCAGCCAACTAAGCAGTGATTGCGCGTTGAAAGTGCATCGCACCGCATCCTCGTCGGGGACACGTCTGGGTGACCGTGCTACCTTCCATTGTTACACTGCACCCCCGGCGGTCGCTTTCTCACGTGGCGCCTGGGTTGCCGCGGTGAGAAGACGGAGCGCACGACCCCGTGCTGCGGTGACCGGTGTTTGTGTGAGCCAGCCGCCGTGTGTGTTCGGTGGCTGATGTCGACCCACGCTCTGCCGGCAGCCGGGCATCTGCAGCGTCTGCCGCCGCTGCCGCCCGGCCCGCTCAGCCTGAGGGAATATAAGCCATGGTGAGCATCACACAGGCCACAGTGCTGCGGCCCGGCCCGGTCAGGTGCGCCGCCACCGTCCCACACGCCACAGCCACGTGTTGCTGGTCCACCGACGCACACCCTCCACTGCCGACGCCGCGTGTCGCCACGTACCCGCACGTGCCTGTCGCCACACCGTGCGGCACGGCCGTGCTGTGTCGGCACGTGCTGCAGTCGTGTGCTGCGAGCGGCAGCTGGCTGGGGAAAGGCGTGTTGAGCAGCGTGTCTGTGCAGCCGGAGCTGTGCGGCAGTCAGTTGCTGACGGGCGGCTCGTTGGCGAGGTCTGACTGCGTCCCAGCCGGCCGCCGGTGGAGCGTCTGCACTGGGCCGCCCCCGGTTGGCGGGTGAGCCCGTGCCCGGCCGGTGCTTAGTCCGGACGCTCGTGTCACCGTCCCGTCCGCAGACAGTGGTCTGCTGTCGCCTGTGCTGGTCTGCGGGCCGCCCGCCAGTCGCACGCGCACGGAAAGCGTGACGTCCGATGGCCGCACATCACCGAACACCGCACACCTGCGTCCCGTCCGACCGCTGGCTGCCCGACGCCATTGGTGCAGCCGTCGCACACATCTGACAATGCTACAGTCACGGCTACACGGCGATAGTGAGCACACGGCAATGCTGGAGCAGCAGCGAGACGAACCCGAGACCCGCAGCGTATTAACTGGCCTCCCCGAGGCTGTTGACCAATGGTCGCCGTGCTGCCGATCGCCGACGCCCTGCTGTCTTGTCATTGGCTAAACTGCCAAAGACGCCGGCCGTCAGGCTTCATCTCATTAGTTAGTGGTTTATAGCCAGTCTTTCATTGGCTAACCCTAGAAATTTGGGCGGAGCCACCGTACGTTTGCATTGTCGGTCTGTGACCGCGACAAAACGTTCTGATGGCTGATCATGGCGGCCGACGCACAGTGCGTCCTATTTCGTGAGAAGCAATGATGACTGCCAGCGCCTGTGCCCAAAATGTGTACGGGCAAAGCAACAGTATCAGTCGCTTGCCGTTTTATCTTGGAAATATGTTACACAAACAAGTGGCACCGCAAACGCCACGAAGTGTGTACGGGCAAAGTAACAATAGCAGTCGCTTGCCATTTGTTCTCGGTAATATGTTACACAAATCGATATGTAAATTGTGCACGCCTAAAATCAGTATTTTTGGGTAAGGTGGCATACAGGCTCTTCCCTTAGAATAGTTGTCAAATTCAACGCTGCACCCGTGACGTCGTGTGGAACGAAACGTCTCACGATGTCTTAATGCGCTCCATTCACCTTTTCACCTGTGGCACAGAACCTATGGAATTGAGTCAGGGTCAGCAAGCACTAAACACGCCAGAACACAACGTTGCCAAACTGGGCGCCGGCCGACGTTCGCAGAACGGCGAGATACCTCCCGCTCATTGGTCAAGAGAAGCCGGCCCGGTGGAGACCGACCAATCGCAGAGCGGTAGACTTCTTCGGGTGACGGTGGAATTATCTCGGCATGTTTCCTGCGGAGCTATGGAACTATCGTCCATAGTCCCGTGTCCCATCCGGCTCCACTCATCAGCCGTCTCCTTTCATGCCCTCGGCTACAGCGCTGCTCCCTATTTCGTCATAAATCGCCGAGTCTAGATGTGTATTGCGAAGCTGCCCATTTTTGAGACTCTAAATAAATGTCCGACCCGTAATCCATATTTGGAAATCCTGTTCCCGCAAATAAATTTTCCCGGAAAGGCTGGCCGCGCATGGAAGCCTGATTTCAATTATTTGGCGTGTTTCATGTTGTAACCAGTATTTCAGGTGCACCAACTTAGGTATAATGAAGTATCTAAACGTGAGCTCTGTGTCGCGTAATTAACGTAAGTAATGACTAGGAAACTACACCCGTTTCTAGCATACGTGTGGTTCACTTACAACGGAACTGTTATCTTGTTGACTTTAGACATCCTCTGGCTTAGACACAGAGCCTCACTTCCCCGGCGCCAAAAATGTGTAGTTTGAGGCGAGCCAAGATGTGACCTATACCCAAAAGCTCCATTTCCAAACCTGGATCACCTTTGTCCGTGACGTAGTATGTAGGTACGTGCCTAGACAATGCACTAATCAGTTGTGCAAAGTGTTTATCGGCTGAATGCCGATGCCTCGTATAACCACGCTTACCCACTGAAGTTGAAAGAGCCTGCATCATCGACCAGCCGCTCGTCTCAGTTAGCAGACGTGCCAGACTGCCGGCAAAGTGTCCCATCTGCGAAGGCGCGCTATCATCAGGCACATTTTGTCACCACGGCATGAAATGGCTCTGACTTGGGTGGCCACCTAAAGAACAAAGTAGTTGCTTGCCTGTTCAAATACAACATGGATTACATTGGAGAGCACCGAATCGATGGTGTATTGAACCAGACAGTGCTGGCTCTCACTGTGTCCTTTTTTGCAATGAATTACAGCGACAATTGTACATTTTATCATTTTCGCTTTCAAAAGAGCAGACCAGGTGGCTGGGGATCCTATTTTTTTGGCCAAGATTTTTCTGCAGGCTTGTAGACATGTAGACGTAAACATGTAGTCGTAAATTAAGGCACACAGATTTGATGTTCCCACAATAAACACTGCCTTCAGTAAATATGTGCACATGTATGCATATACACATATATAAAGTGCAAACGTTCGTGCATCTTTATTTGGTGTCGACGTTGTGACGTCACGCTCGTCTGCGGTTCACATATCCGCGACATTGATCTACCTCTGAAACCAATTACAACACATTCCGTGATACGTACGTGGCCACTGTTTGGGACCGGCCCAGTCGATTCTGGCCCGTTGAGGCGAACGGCTGAGGCCCAGCCCTAGTCGAATCTAGTCGCGCGGCGTTTCAAAGCGCCTGCGTTCCTCTCCCCGGAACGAGTGGGCCGGGACATAATCGCATCGTTTACGAAAACCCTTCCCGACCGTCCGCTGTCACAGGTCAGGGTCGACCCGCTTGGGTCACCACGGCGGGCCGGACGAGTGCGTCCGCGTGCGTTGGTCGGCTTTCCAAAATGAGAGCTTGCAAGATGAATGGCTTAATCCACGCCCGGCCGGGGAAGTCGACTTTCCTCACCATTTTTCGAGCGTAGCTCCAAACGGAACGCTCGCAGCAACACCACATTTGCTGTGCCTGTAATCTATCAAGTTTGCATCCTTTGTGCAAACTTAAGTTTTTAATCGACGAATGTTAGTGGTCCAAGTGAGGTCAACGAGGTGAGTCTGTACAAAACTTATGCCAAACATAACTTGTTGTGAACTATTTACCGTTTGCCCAAACTTGCTGTAGTAATGTAACGTGATAATTCCTTCAGCATGTATATCTAGTACTGTAAACTTATTTGCCGCACCTACGGATTCGAAAGCGGTCGGGCCATATCAAAGTCACCCGCACCAAAAACGGCAATGCAAAGTTTGGAAATAGAATTATCCGGCGTCATAATGAAATTTACATTGCCGGTGCGCTAATCTCGCGCGTCTCCGGTGCATATCAAAGCAGTGGGCAGTGTGCAACCATTTCATTGGTTGCACACTGCCCATTGCGAAACTGCCTGTAAACGGAATTTTACCATCGGACGCCAAAATAGATCAAAAGATCCGTATGGATCTTCACGCAAAACGTGGAATTCAAAGATGGACAATACTGTGCTACAATAATATGGCAACCTATGAATGCGTCTCAACAGCCCAGATCATCCAGCATAACGACGGCATAATTTGATGTACTTTATGCCAGCCAATGCCAACTAATTCATTTACCTGAAGCGAGAAATAAAAATGGTCTTTAATGCTGCCACAAAGGTATTTTGGGCGCTTACGGCGCCAAAGTGCAAGGCGAGCGCCAACAAATGTTTCCTTTTTTATCTCATGAGCCAAATGAATGTGAACAAGAATAAGAAGTATGTATTGAAGTGATGCTATTGAGTCTGGCACTTGAACGATGGTTGCTATCATTCAAAGCAGTGCTTCGCTGGGACGCAACACGCATTTTTCCGATTCGGTCTTTGCGCGGCGCCAAAACCGGCGCCAAATCCCGGCGAGAGTGCCAAAAAGTCCGCTACCGGCGCCAATGCCATTCCGAGTGTTACACTGATCACAATGTAAGCTTGACATCCGTACATTCGTTGAATAAACGTTTATCGGAGGTGCATCATTTCAAGTCAGGGGTTTGGGCTTGGCCTCCAATTCATCTCGGCATTTTATTCTAGCCCATTTCTGTGTCAAGCCATACAATGTTGCGGTACACCTTGGTACACATATTTTAGCAGTCGTGCTTGCGGGATCTGCTTTCACCAAAGCATTCTCACGTCTCGCCGGGTCAGCAGCTGCGCACCAATGTACTGATGCTCAGTACGGTGAGACGCACTGAGCCGCCTCTAAATACTGATCAGGATAAATACTGTGGTGTGCAGGTTAGTTTCATCAACTGAGTTCTGCCAGAAACTGTCATGCTGTCAGCAATAAAACACTTGAAGTAAACACAGCACAAACGTTGCAAGTCGTAATTTAGCCAAACATTACGACAAAAAACCGCAACGTATGAGTTTTGGAACACATGCCAAGCCATTAACGCGATCTAAGCACGACTGACATGAATGGTGGCAGTGTCCATTGAGGTTTGTCCTTTGATGTTTGTCCATGGAGGTTTGTGACCACAAGACCCGTTACAATTCAGCGGAAGAGCAAGGAACAGCTCAACATTTACAAGAAATGTCATACTAAATGATTTAACTCACAATGATCGCTGGATTTTTCATTGAGAGATGTCACTGACGAGGAAGAGTATCTTGCACTGACTTCCTCCACGCTCGTCCTGACATTGTGTAAGCAAATGCAGAAGGGACGTATTTGTCTGATATGAACAACACTGTTGATGATTGTAGGCTTACTGTACATTATGCGGTACTGTGCCGTCGTCATGCAAACATAAGCTTTACTGCTGGTTTGCAAGATTTTTGCCAATGCTGTCCTGACAACCTAAAGGCCCGAAAAAAATTTCGGGAACAGGTTTCAATAAAGGCCCTGAATCTGACTGTCAAGCACGCAAGGATTCATTGTCAAGGGCCAACGTGCTACTCCACGGCCTTCCCCGCTGGGGCGCTGCCAACTCCGCTGTTGGATAAAGATGACCGACAGAAGACAGGCCGAACCCTTCCCCCTCCTCCCGTCCGTTACTGCATCAGATCTGTTATTACGTCGCCCCATGAATGGACGAATTAGTTCAGAGGCAGCCCAAGGCAAAGCCCCTCAGTGATTGCGCGAATGGGCGTAAGTGTCCTATGCCTGAAACTGCCTCTGTACACTAGCGTGCAAGAGGGGCCTGGACGCCAGCCATGTACCCCTGCCTGCGGCTTCTGGGCCTTGAACAGTTCATTCCGAGCAGATGACAAAAGACCAAGCTGCCATGGAGTACGTCAATCAATGAACTGATCGATACACGTTCGAATATGCCAACCCGGTACAGACAAGCCGCCGATGCTCCTGCCACCAGCGGCGGAAGGCGTAACTCATTGATACAGGTGACGCTTGCTGCCACCAAGCAAATGGAGTTTGAATTGAACGCTTGAGTTGTTGTATGTTGCGTGACGTCATTGCCTTGTTGCGGTCTGGTCTCCCGCTCGTGTCGTCATCAGTTGGCGCTGCCTGAGTGCGGTAGCTCCTGTGGCGTTGGTCATTGACAAAAACGTTCCTAAAATAATTATTTGCGCTTTCCTGTGCATCGGCGAACGGTTTGTGTGCCTTCTGTCGCCGCTGGCACCGGGCTTCCCCGCTTTATGGGGCTTCACTCCGCTCTTGTTCCAGGTGGACTTCATGAACAACGAACGAGGTTGACGGCGGCGGCGGCGACTGCAGTGGTGCATGTTGAAGTATCGTTGCCGGGCCGCTGCAGTGGGGCAGCAAGCGGCATCGAGTGCGGCGAGCAGCCGACCAAGCCGTGACGGCGGCCCCGGCTGCCCGCCGCTGTCGCCTGCCGGCCGCCGGCCTGATTCGGCTGACAACAGTGAAGCAGTCAGGTCTGGCGAGAACTCACGCGCATCAAGTGCCACTGGTGCCGGTCGGGCCAGGACAGGTTGGTTCGGAATGCGGTGTCGCTGGTGGAAGCGGCCTCGCTCTCGGCCAAGCCATGCACCTCGTGCCGTATGCTAACCGACTTTGTGCAGCTGAAGGACGGCGACGTCGTGACACGGCACGGCGCCAACAGTGAGGTGGACCAGACTCCAGCCGTGTCGAGTGTGCAGTAGCCGGTCGGTAGACGTGGTGCGGGCGCGGGATGACCTGGACGAGCTGCGCCAGTACCTGACGGGCCCGGGCGCCACCGGTTGGTCGGCATCGGCGACTGGCGCCGGGCTGTCAGCCGCATCAGACCCGGTGGCGGTCGCGTCGGCGCCGGGCGAATCCTTAGCTTCGACGGCCGGCTGGTGGGACAGTCGCCGGCTCCGCGCCGAGATGGCCGAACAGAGCAGACGAGAGCCGGCACAGACCGCGGTGCCGCCGTCAGCCGCAGGACACAGCTCGTCCGTTGGACGGCGGCCACAGCGCAGAGGCGCGCAACGCTCGGCGTGATGGACCACGATGAGGAAGAGCAGGACGCGCCCCAGGACCAGACGTGCTCCTCTGGGGAGGGGGAGAGGAGGGGCTCCTTCTCGATGATGAGCAGCCTGCGAATCTCCTGTCGTTGGCATTGGCTGGTGTTCGCTGACGGTAGTCAGGTGCTGCGGCATCTCGGCCAGCCCCAGCTGCTGCAGCTGGGGCGTGGGCCCGTCCGGCACCGGGACCGGCATGAGCGCGTCCAGCGTAGCAGGGGTGGATCGGACGAGGGCGGCGCCTGGTGCACAGCCGGCCCCTGCGCAGCCGACACCGGAGGCGCAGCAGCAGCCGCCGGCAACGGAGCCGCGCCACCACTGCCACCACAGTCAGACCTTGGAACTGGTGTGTGTCCGTGTCCCACGGCGGAAGCACGGCACGGCCCGCGGAACCTAGCGGACATGAGGCGCGCCTCGGACAGGGCAACTGACCCCACTTAAATAAATAGGCATTGTTTTGTACCCGCACTCCATGTTTGGCTAAGCGTGAAATCACCTACCTAAAAACCTCCAGGTAACCGGAAGACGGGACACGTGCGCCACTTCTCCAGAGTGATCTTTGAACTGTCACCGTGGAGTTGTGTGTCGCACCGGTCCGGAAACGTTAGGTCAAAGTTGTAATACCATTGCAATACGTAATCCCCCGGGCCGGATCGGAACCTGCCGACCACTGCTTCGGACCTGCACCCTCTGCCACTTACCACTGCGTCGGGCGCCCCGCGGGAGCTGGAGTCGCTGAGAGATGGCTCCCTTCTGCCAGTGGGTTCGCCGCTAGTGAAGGTGAGGCCCCGTGTGGATGGGGACGGACCGCTGTTGGCCACAACGAGGACCGACGAGCCGCCTGTAGTGGTTGTGCCCGAGTGGAGTCACATCACAGCGCTGATGGTGGACGAGGGGCATCGTCGATGTTTGCACCAGGGCGTCCGCGTCACTCTTGCTCTTTTCTCTGCAGAGTATTTAATTCACAGGAGAGCCATACACAGGGTCGTGTGCACATGCAGTAGGGTGTCGGTGGCACAACGGACTCCCCCATCGGTATGTGGAGAGCCTTCTGCCACCATTCCATGTCAGAGCCATGTCGGTCCTTCTGGATGTTGGTGATCGACTATTGCATTCCCTTGTTCGCTGACGAAGACACAAGATCTAGACACTGACGATCACGCGTGTGTTACGTTTCGTGTCATTCACCTCGAGCGGGTGCAAGGCCAGAGCACTGACATGATTCGGCCACGTTAGACAGGGCCTGCAGAAGCCGTGGACGTGTGTCGGGTTGCCTGATCCGACACTGGCTGACTGAATGCCTGCAGGTGCTGCGGTGCTGGAGCAGCCCCGGGGCCGACCCCACCCGTCTGCCGGCGGTTGGCGAGGTCATCCTGGTCCACGGCGGAGGCCCTCGCGGCTGGTGACCCTCGGCCAGGGTGGCTTCGCTCATCAAAGGACCGGACGGCCGCTGCCGTGCCGCGGCAATCCTGCTCCGCGGAAATCTCACTCGCCGACCCACCGCCAAGCTGTACCGGCTGGAGGCATCGCCAGACACCACCTGTGACCGTGACGCGGACCAGAGCCGGTCGTCGTGTGGCACGCCTGCGGCAGTGTTTAGCGCGGCTCGGCACCGAACGAGCGAGGTGATGCGCGAGCAGTGGTGCCGCCCACGGGCGAGGCGTGCGCGTACCGTGACGCCGTTGGACGGTCGACGCGACATGGTGGCGTCGACCCAGCTGCTGAGTCCAGGTGTCGTGACTGTGTCTTGGGTGCAAAATAAAAGTAGCTATTGTGCTCCACTTAGAGAATACTACGTTTGCTAGTCCACGAAAATATCTCATGTAAGAGGTGCAAATAATGCAACGATGGAACATGTGCGTCACTTTTCGAGAGCTCCTCCTTAACTACCGCCACGTGGGGGTTGCGCCGGTCCAAAAACGCTTGAGTAAAGGTTGCATTAAGTATCTTTCAATGCATAGTCCTCCGGGTAGGATCCAAAACTGCCTACCATTGCTTGCTTTCTGTGGTTAGCGTTTGAGCCTTCGAATTGCCTTCTGCTGTTCGTGCACGTGATGTTGCATCACCGCAAACACGAATGCTTAAGAGGACTGTTCCGTACTGCAAGATATTGAAACGAGTCTGATACACGATGAAAATGCTCGCTTAGGGCTATTGGTATGCTTTTAAGTGCAAAAGACTGTTCTAAACAACAGGATGTCATGTTTTAATAACTATGTTCCTCAATACGCCCATCATTTGATTTTGTCATGAAACGTTTTCTTGACGTCAGAGGTCACTGCCAGATTGGCCATGCACAGTTGTAACTGTAGCGGACGGCGTGACTCACTTGTTGCCTCCTCTACCCGCCGCAAGGCGGTGGTTTAAGCTACGTACCTACGTCCCGCTACGTACCTTGTTCTAGCGTTATATGGGGGTGGTTTGGCCTTATCTTTAGGTGTTCTGGTGATTTTGTCCTTGGTCGCGTGTTATCTACTTGGTATGCGTTTGGCTACGGTGTCATTCATGATGTATTCGATTCTCAGCCCCAATGAGATTCTTCGTATCTCAAGATGGTGGCTGCCACCAATACGTTGCTGTGGCACGGTCTTTGTGACCGCATTTTACACTTCAACTTCCATCCGATACGCAATTTTATTGCGAAACAACGAAGAACTAAGCGCAAATCAGTTGACCTGATGCTTTCCCTCCTCATGCTTGGCTGCTGACATAAACATGGCGCAGATTAAGACAAGCAAAAACCACATCGTGTATAGAAATGTTGAAAAAACACTGGATATTTTCAAACCAGTGAAATCCTTGGCACAAACCAACATACAGCTCCTGGGAATTACTATAGCCAGCGGGCATTACTGCACAAGCCGTGACTGCGGCACCACGCTGTCTCCAGTGACCGACCGGCCCGCGCCGGAGACGTCTGGACTGGCGCAGCAGGAGCGCATGTTAAAGGTGTTCAGTTGGGCGTCAGGTCCGGCGGGCGCGCAGATTGCCGCGAGACGCCCAGCGCGTGCAGGGCCGGCGCCTCGCCGAGCTATCGGCAGAACCGGCGCCCGGGGGCGGCCGGACGGTACACAGACACCCTCGAAAGGAGCGGCCACGCGGCTGGCTGCGACCCAGTCCAAATATGGCGCTGGGTTCCGCGTCACGTGAGGAATGGCAGAATTAGTGAAATCTTGCGCCAGTTGGCGGCTATTTTATACAATCGCACTTGCCGCCAGATCCCTCCCGGTTGCCTTTCACGACAACCGACGTGTAGACGTCACAGGTAGCACGTAGTGTAGCACATGTAGCCAGAATCCCGTTATACTTGAGATGTGTTTATCTATTTTATAATCTTCATGCATCAAGGTCTGTTAAAGCTTAACAGTGTTTCTTTTTTAAGATAGCAGAGTGCAAACTGGAAGAGATGGAACAAGATTCCACATATTTGAGCGCCAAGGGTCAGCGGTTGTCCCTAAAACCGTTGTCTCTATCTCACGAAGCACATCTACCGGCAGACCACAAGCATCAGCGCTACGGGTTAGCTCTGCGCAGAGTGCTGGAATGGTGGGCCATGTGCAGGCCACCGACGAGAAGCGTCGGCAGCAGGTGGCGCAGGCCGGCCGCCGTCCGCGAGAGCTGCGACCAGCGCGGCGGTACGGGCGCGCCCTCTGTCGGCGTCAGGATGTAGAGCCCGCCAGCTGCCACTCTGGTGTCACTGATGATGGAAGAGGCCCGCATGGAAATGAATGTGTATGAAATGTGGCCGGGAAAGATGGACAGGACGGGGGTCACAGTGGCCCTTTAAGGATGGTTAAGTAACTGGAACAACACGTGGGCAAAAGTATGCGACTCAAACTGAGTAGCGCGAACAAAATCATGTTTTTTCTGGGAGACGTAATCGACTGGCATACAAACATTGCGTCAGGCACAAGCACACGGGCAAAATAATCCAGCCCGATGTCGCTACTATGTTGCTGCTTTAGAAGGAACAAGCCGTGATGGAAGACATAAGTCATTGCGACTTTCACATCCAATTCCTGGAGTATTTCCAGGTCAAGAATCTCCATCGTTTCATACGTCGTGCTTGTCATATTATTTTGCTGTTTAGGGAAGAAAATCGAATGTACAAGCGACCAGTGGCATTTGTTGCCCAAAAAGTAGCATTTACAACA